TCCTGCAATTCCCTCACATTGCGAGGGGGTAGCGTGGCAGCACGAATTTGGTTTTCCAAGTGGGACCACAAATGCTCTATTGGATTAAGGTCAGGTGAATTTGGTGGCCAAGACATGACTTGAAAGTCAATGGAATGTTCCTCGAACCAATCCATGGCGATTCTACCCTTATGACATGGTGCATTATCCTGTTCGTAAACACCATCCCCCGCAGGAAAAACTGTTGCCGTTAATGGGTTAACTTGGTCTGCAACTATGTTCAAGTAGCTTACAGACGTCAGGGATTGTTCTATGAGGATTATGGGTCCTAATGTGCCCCATGAAAACATTGTTCCTGGGCGAGAAACCATGAAAACCAAGGCGAGCACATTGTTACAGATGGAGGGTGGTCATAATGAAATGGCTCTTCGGTGTATATGTTTAAAATTTTGGTTTTTGTAGTCGCCTGATCTTTAATCATTTTAATAAAAACAAAAAAGAAACAAACAAACAAGAGTAAAATTAATTTTAATTTACAACTATTAATTTCCAAAGTAAGTCATTATGAATTGGATGTCAATGAAATATTATACAAAATAATTCGAATAATTTTTTTGCAAACACTTATATTGATAGATTGAGTGAATTCAGATAGCAATGCTACGAAAATGGTATATATGCCTGATAATTTATTCTAGTATAATATTCTTTTTCATACTTAATGTAACCATTACTTCCTAAGTAACTTTTTCTTTTTAACTCGAAAAAAAAACTTATGAAATCACAAATTAGATGCAAATCCCTTTGCTTCTTATAGCTTACAAAATCACCTGACGATTCGCAAAAGAAAGAGATTTGAGTATCATTTGATTATGTGATAAGACTCTCACGTACAAACACGTATCTTCCCACCCTTATAGATGCTAAATATGATCGGTAGGTAAAATTTAATTTACAGAATTAAACACCAGTATGTAATATGCACAATTTTTTGTCGGATTTCATTTTTTTGTACTTAAAAAAAAAGAAAAAAGCAAAGTCACAATCGAAAAATTATCGACGTCAAAACGGTGATCGCGTTAAAGTTATTTTTCTTTAATTTTTGTCGATAATTTTAAAGCTATTTCAGTGAATTGATTTTTTTTACATATTACTCTAAAAATATTTAATTTAAAAAAAGAAAGGGAATTCGAAAATGGTTTCTAATAAATGTTCACTATTTTTTAAATTATAATTTTGGAAATTTTTTTAACAGTGCAAACATTTTTAGTTTTATTACCATAAATTTTTTTATTTATTTTCAATATTTTTACTTTCAAATTAGAAAAAAATAAAAATTTTCAAGAAAAGGGGAAAATGTGCAAGAATTAAAATTACCATTAAGGAATCCAAACTACAGCGGTACTAAAAGCAGAAAACAACGGGAATAAAGCACAAATGAAAGTACATAAATGGACATACTATAGTTTCAGTTCCATAAGCAAGAAACTTGATCAGTGTCTCAAAGTCAAATGAAGTCAGATAGTCAGTCAGTCAAAGTCAGTCAGATAGAAAAGTAAAAAGACAAACACGCGTACATGGTTTCACCATTAGGAATCTCTCAGGATTGGAATCTTTCTGAGTAGGAATCTCTCATAACAGAATTATTGAGTCCTATTTTACAGAATGTTGCTTGCCTCCCCTATTTTCACAGTCAAAAAATTAATTTCTTTACAAAACAAGCATGTTTATTATTAAAAAAAAGCTAATGTTCTTTTCAAATCTGAAAATATTATCAGCACTAAAAAATTAAAATATTTAAGATTAGTCTCATGAAAAATTTAGATTACATCTTACCTGTTAAAAATCCAGCACTTAAGTTAATGTCATTAAGGATTCGAAGATTCGTTTTCATTTTGCACATCGTACAAGGCAAGGAAGTTATAATGGGCAAACTACATGCATCTAAAAGATTATTAATTAAAAAGCAGTTTGTAAATACAGTCATAAATAACACTTTTCATTTTCCCTTCGAATTACTACGTTGCTTTTGGTTAAACTAATTAAAATACAAAAATTAAATGCATAAATATTATATTTAATATTAAAGTGAAACGCCATTTTCTTAAAAAATATATCTCTTTTAATTTCGAACTTAATATTCTATACACATTTTAAAAATGCTGCAATGGATAAAGAAATATAAGTCTTCCACTGCGTGCGTGTATTTTCTTAAGAAAAAAAAATATTTGTAGCGCAAGAAGTCTATTTACTTTCTTTAAAAAAAATCATTAAAGTCTCATTAACCTCTATTTCGTAGCATTGTTATCTACGACTGAGATAAAAGGATTTATTTTCTCTTGAAAAATTTCGCCAGAAATTCAGCAACCCATTTATGAGACTTTACGAGCCGCGGCTTCCAAGCAAAATAAAATTACGTTGAGCATTCGAAATTTAGTAAGCCCTGAGGTTATTTAAGTATCTTATTTATTAAAGAAAGTTTTAAGAAAGAAATACTGCTCCTCTACTGACTTAATGTGAGGAAATATGTCCCGAGAGTTTCTATATTAAAATCTCATTTATTTACTGTTAACTAATAACTACGTTTTATATCGTCTTGGTGGTATTACTAATTTTTTTTGAATAAATCTATAATAACTATTTCAAGGATCTTTTCTCATAAATCTTTAAAGATAAAACATAAATTGTTGATTAACATTTTTATTTTAATTCAGTCCCATTAAGAGCCAAGTTTCCCTTTTGGGGAACCTTTGATTAAAGTTGTCCGCCCATAAGTAATTAATATGGATATTATTCAATGAATATTAAAAGCATTTAGCATTGTTTCAATTTTCTCCGAAAAGTATGTAATATGATTTTTATAATTTAAAAAAGTATCAAATTTAATCGAAAATGTTTAGTTTTTCTACTTATGAAAGGAAAATCTTAAAAGCAATTTAATAATTTCTGAGAATTTGGAAACAATAGATATAATTAAAGAAAACTCTCTTTTTAGTCGGTAAAAGTGGAGATAAAAAATGTTTAAACATATTTTATAGTTATTTTAGAAAATCCAGAGACAAAAAAAAAATAGGCTTCTTCTGTTTTTCAGAAAAAAAGCATGATACCCTCAGAGAATTCTGACATTTTTAGTAGGATAATTTATAGATAAAGAGTGATAATTCCATCTCTCTTTTATTTTTTTTTATCATTCTTTACTAAAATTAATTATTTTTTTTAAGTTATGGTTTCACAAGCAGACAATTACATGTTTTACTCTTACTTTTCATTCCATTAAGAAGAACCAGAATATTAAACCAGAATTTCCGGTGAACCGTTCCCATATAAACGGAAATATTACTAAATGGATGGTTTAAATATTGTATTTTTGCTGTTGTTATCAAAAACTTTTTTTTCTGCTAGAATTGTCAATACCATACAGTATATTAATTTCACTAGAATATTTTTCGCGTGCAGAAACTTTTGAAATGATTATCAATATAACTAAATTCAGTCAAATTTTTTACTGTCAATAGTAAGAGCGTAAATCGAGAAAAAAGAAATAGAAAGATAATAGAAGATTACAAAAAAAATTGATGAACATTTGTTTTTTTAAAAATTGTAATAGTCAAGTAAATATAACACCATTATACTTTTCATTTACCTTCATTTAAAATACTTCGTATTATTGACTTTTCATGTGGGTTATTTTGTAAGACAAATAGGCAGATATCTTTTTTATCTTCCCTTTTTTCTGGCTACAACTTTATCTTGACTTAATCTTGATGAATAGGTGTGTGTAACACTAGTCCCTTAGATTTCAATGCCAGGAAAGGGGATAACTTTTGTTATATGAAATGTTACATAAAAGTTTTTTTTTCTTGTAACACTAATAAATTTTATTTTTTCTCTCTTAAAGTATTTTAATTTAAAATAAACCAAATGACCTAAATTTTTATGCGTTCAAGATATTGAGTAGTTTTACTGTTTTATTCAGTTGATATAACTATTTTAGATTTAATGAGTTACATATTCAATTGCAATTAATGGAGAAATATTAACTGTAAATAATGTGACACATCCAAAATTAGTGTTCCAATAATTGAAAATAAGCTAAATTTAAAGTTATGTATTTAAATTTTTAAAAAACAAAATTTAGATAAGTATAAGTAAATAAAAGTGTATATTGACCTGTTTTATTCTGAAAAGAAAACAACTTAACATTAAATAAATCCCAAATCTTTTTATCGACATAATAAACAAAACTACTTTAGTTTGAAGTAAAATATAATAAAATAATAGAATATTCATGCAAGGTAAATCGATCATTAAGTAACAAGTTCGTGTCACTTCCTTTCATATTAATATTTTATTCCCAAAAATTTTATAACTTAAATTGAAGGCTATAGTTCAACAATACATGGGCTATAGTTCTGTAGGGGTTATCAGAGCAACAAAAAGGTTATAGTTCCGATTCTTAAATTAAAATCGTTTCAAAACTGACATTCATAAAATAATAGTAAAAACTTTTTTATTAGTATAAATTTTTTATCATTTAAGTACTTAAATTCCTACTGTTTGTCCTAAATATTAAATAAATATTTGCAGATAAAAAAAATGATCAAAGGAACTCCAATCAAAAAGTTATACTCATAATTTATTTTTAAAATGCAACAACGAAAACTCTACGCTTCCATACAGGGTAACAAAGATTGAGAGACAAGTATGAAAGAAGAATTCGGTATTTTTTTTAAACATTTAGCTAATTTTAGTTGAAACTTGGCTGATAAATGCAGGGTATGCTGTAAAATGTTTTTGCGGGATGTCTTATTGTTTTGTTGCTTTGTTGAAAATGTCGAAATAAAGCTCTTTTGGGCGTTTATAGATCATCATGTTCACCGAATTAACTTCATTTTAGCACTTGGGGCTCACTTCTGAGAGGCAATACTAAAGAAGTACGTGAAAATTATCCAAAAACCACCAATGAACTGAACGCTATAATTCAAAGCCTCATAGTAATCATCGCTAAGCTCAAACTTACCCTTCAAAATGATCAACAAAAACATGGCTATATGTGAACACTTAGGCAGGTTTTGCAGAATTTCGCTATTTGACTGTTCACATCATAGCCATTAATTACAAAAGTAGAGATCATGCCTTAAACGAAACTCGAACGTTAGTTACGTTATGTTCGAAAGTTGCATGAACTTTAAACGAAGTTACATCTATTCAAATATATATTGTGAATTATGTTATGAATTATATGCTATGTCAAATGTATGCGTAATATGTTATGAAAGTCTAATTATAACTCGTAAATAAGTACAAAAAAAATCCTATAACCCGTGATTAATTGATCAGCTATATTCTGTAATCGTGAAGTCACCAATCCAGAATGCTAAATATGTTATAAGAATTTAAAAAAGAGTATGCCTGTTTTGTCATTTTCAAGCGTAGATATATACCTTTAATTATTAAGATATATATTTTTAATTATTATTATATATACCTTTTATTAATTTTCAATAGATATACGAACAGAGACCTCCAAGTAGAAAAGGATGGGTTGACCTTTATGATCCAATGAGGTTTGGGCACAGTGGTAAGAGTTGGTTTATTAAGCTACCACTTTCAGAAGGAAGCAGAGGTCACTTTCGTCACATAGCTGTAGTTCACAATGAAGTAAGATCTCTCAATGTATATTGATGTTTAATTAAGCATGTTGAAGGTAAAACAAAACACATAAATTCAATGAAGTCATAAAAAAAGTTTAAAAATAGGAAAATATTTAAAATGCTTTTCAGGACTATATTGATAACGTGAAACTAAACATAAACCTTAGTAAAACAATAATAAAACAAAAAAGAACATAGTTAATTAGTCCTAAATTTAAAATTAAACAAAGAAATACGTTTCTTGTAAATTTCTTTACAACTGTAATAGCAAATAAAACTTATACATTTGTTGAAAAAACTTTTTTGAAATCATATACATTTTACACAATTAATAACTGTCAATCAATAAGTAAATAGATTTGAATTGATATACCAATATTTCTCGAAGCTGATGATGATAAGCTAAAGCTCATTAGCATTATTTCACGAAGAAATACATTATGCCTTTTTAGAAAAGAATACTATTTAACTATATATACTAAAATACTATTTAACTATAAAAAAAGTAAATGCTCATAAATGAATTATATTAGCATTAGTTAAAGTTAAATAATCCACAATAATCATATGTAGACAATTATAAAAACATATATTTTATCTACTATACTATAGAAGAAAATGTTTATTTTTAATTTCCGTACTTCCTTGATCAGGAATTATTTAATTATTTTAATCAAAGGTTGAAGAAATAAATTAATCATATAAACTAAACCTAAACATAAATTTTATAAGACTTTTACCACATTATTATATTGCTTCAGGAAAGTAATGAAAAAACCTACTGAATTCAAAAGTATTAGTATTTGTTCAGTTTAAATTAAAAATTTAATATTTATGCAATAAAGTAATTAAGTTTACTACATAAAAAGTTTTAATCTTTATTTAATAATCTTAACTTTGAAGTTAGAATCAAGAGAAAACATTTTTCAAAAAAATTGAAATACTTTATGAAATTATTATTAATTGAATGATTATAAATACATGTTTTAGAAGGAAAGTCTTTAAAGAAAACTAAGAAATGTTTTTTTTTTAATTGTCTCTGAATTTTTTGGAAAAATTCATTGTCAAACTTTTACTTAAATAATTTAAAATCACACAATAGTAATTTACAAAATAAATATTAATTTATTGATTATTTTTTGGATTATTTATTCTTCAAACTACTGAATTATGTAGATTAGTTTGCAAAAAAGAGCGAATCTTATACTGTATCATATTTATATATGTTTTCAATTTTAACGCTATATTGAATATTTCAGACACGCTTTGTTGAGTTTTTAACGGAAGGAAAATTTGATGTTACGAAGATAGTTGCGTATCACGAAGGTTCAAATACTGTGTAAGTCCAAATAAATTGTTAATCGAGAAGAATACTTTATAACTTACTAACTGAATACTCGTTCCTCAAACGAGGTGTATAAAGAAATGAAAATCAATAAATCACTACTAAACACTGATAGTAAATCATGCTCAAATCTCAAAGCATATACCGACGCACTAAATGAAGCTCAAATAACTAATTTTTTATTCTTTATTATTTGTTGCCTTTCCCGGTGACTTTGTATTGTTAAATTAAGCAAAACACATTTTTGTAGTTCATCTCATTACGATAGAGATTAACTGAAATAGGGGTCACTTGGCATGATGCTATTGCTTTCTCCCAACTCATGATAGTCAATGTTTACCATAGCTCAAATAACTAATTTTTTATTCTTTATTATTTGTTGCCTTTCCCAGTGACTTTGTATTGTTAAATTAAGCAAAACACATTTTTGTAGTTCATCTCATTACGATAGAGATTAACTGAAATAGGGGTCACTTGGCATGATGCTATTGCTTTCTCCCAACTCATGATAGTCAATGTTTACCATAGCTCAAATAACAAATTTTTTATTCTTTATTATTTGTTGCCTTTCCCAGTGACTTTGTATTGTTAAATTAAGCAAAACACATTTTTGTAGTTCATCTCATTACGATAGAGATTAACTGAAATAGGGGTCACTTGGCATGATGCTATTGCTTTCTCCCAACTCATGATAGTCAATGTTTACCATAGCTCAAATAACTAATTTTTTATTCTTTATTATTTGTTGCCTTTCCCAGTGACTTTGTATTGTTAAATTAAGCAAAACACATTTTTGTAGTTCATCTCATTACGATAGAGATTAACTGAAATAGGGGTCACTTGGCATGATGCTATTGCTTTCTCCCAACTCATGATAGTCAATGTTTACCATAGCTCAAATAACTAATTTTTTATTCTTTATTATTTGTTGCCTTTCCCAGTGACTTTGTATTGTTAAATTAAGCAAAACACATTTTTGTAGTTCATCTCATTACGATAGAGATTAACTGAAATAGGGGTCACTTGGCATGATGCTATTGCTTTCTCCCAACTCATGATAGTCAATGTTTACCATAGCTCAAATAACTAATTTTTTATTCTTTATTATTTGTTGCCTTTCCCAGTGACTTTGTATTGTTAAATTAAGCAAAACACATTTTTGTAGTTCATCTCATTACGATAGAGATTAACTGAAATAGGGGTCACTTGGCATGATGCTATTGCTTTCTCCCAACTCATGATAGTCAATGTTTACCATAGCTCAAATAACTAATTTTTTATTCTTTATTATTTGTTGCCTTTCCCAGTGACTTTGTATTGTTAAATTAAGCAAAACACATTTTTGTAGTTCATCTCATTACGATAGAGATTAACTGAAATAGGGGTCACTTGGCATGATGCTATTGCTTTCTCCCAACTCATGATAGTCAATGTTTACCATAGCTCAAATAACTAATTTTTTATTCTTTATTATTTGTTGCCTTTCCCAGTGACTTTGTATTGTTAAATTAAGCAAAACACATTTTTGTAGTTCATCTCATTACGATAGAGATTAACTGAAATAGGGGTCACTTGGCATGATGCTATTGCTTTNAAGCTTACTGAAAAACAAAATATAAGCAAAGCGTCTTACGAATTCAATCTCTTAAAGTAGTTGAATAAAATCGATTTCACTCTGAGTTCCTTTTCAGTCCATTGGAACGAAAAGACAGATACATAGTAAATAATAAATGCAGGTTAAGAAATTATTTTTATGCAATTTTATTAATATAAAATACTTATAACAAAAGAAAAATGAATTCTCTCATTTTTGTTTGTAAATCCATAGTCAGATAATAAAAATATCTAAAAAAGCATTTTTAAAAAAACTGATTACAATTTTAATGACTGTATTGTAGAAGAAAGTGGAATGTATAAAATAATCAAAATTAATGACAAAAATTTTATTTAGTTACATTGTTATCTTGGCTACTTTTACTGTTGTAAAGCAAAGCAAAATATTATTTTTTTTCCTGAAAAGAAAAACATATCATTGCTTCGAATTATTTTAATGTTAATTTTAAGTCAATTTGGTAAATACTGTGAATTTATCTGATATGTTTGAATGGATCTATAACATCCGTTGTGTTTCTTAGATCTTAGAAATGTTTCTTAGAATTTCTTATTATTAAATGTAAACTTTTAATAATGCTAAATTTCCAAAATAAAATGATTTCTTGATGACTTATATGTAAAACACTGGTAGTAGAGTTAATCGGCGGATGGTGAATTTGGAGATAAGAATACACCAAAATTTAAATGGAAAAAAAAATACAAGAAACAAATGAAATTTGAAAAAAAATATATTACTCCTGAATTGGTATTATGTCTTTCATCTTCAGAAGTTAATTTTTCATTTCCTTCATTAAGTTGAGGTTAATCATTTTTAAGTACATTATTTTATCATTCATTGGGACATACATAATTTTTCATGCATTATATCTTGCATTGTAAACATTCAACCCTTTTAAATCTTGTGAATCTACTATGCGAAATATTTGAGTGCAAATATTCTATCCCACAATATGCAAAATCTTTGTTGCGTTTGGGATTAAAGCAACTAAATTTCCATTTTATTGAGATTTTTATTGTTCTATCACTTGCCAATTTCGGAGCAATCCTGAAATTTTCTAATTAAATTTTTACCTACATAAATTATATTAAATATTTCTTTTTACCTCATCTAAGATAACTTCCCTTCAAGGAATTTTCAGATTACAACACAGATCAGTAACTAAAACAATTATTTTTAATCTAACTAAGCAAATAACAGTTTTCCATTAAATTCTTCTTTTTGAAAAGTTCCGTTTATTTTAAATGGCTGTGAGGTGATTTTTATTTATAATTACGGAGAAAATCTTCCTCTTTATCAATTTTAATTTGATAAATTTGATTTTTCTTAGCTAGTGAGTTTCTTCTTAATAAAAGCTAACGCGTAAGCAAATTTGAGGTAAAGTTTTTCATCAAGATGTATTTATCTATGGAAATGAATCATTATTTATAATAATAAAATCAGTTTCTCTGTTCGCGTGTGTATTTATCTTATAACTCCGGAACCGTTTGTTCTAAGCTTTGGACAACGTCCGCAATGGTCAATTTTATCCCTCGATATAAAAATTATTTTGATGATGATATCCTTTTCAAATTAAAATTATTTGTGCCGAATGGTATAGCATGATCGCGTACATGCTTTAGTATTAAAGCAGGGAGATCGATGATATATGATAAAAACATAAGAAAATCCTGTCATAAGTACTGTACCTTTTTTGAGCATTAGTTAATTTTCTTAAGAGAAGGTTAGGGTATCCAACTACATCCTTCAAATTGTTGCAGTTCAGATTGAACTCCAAATTTGAAAGTTAATGGCGAGTCAAGATTAGGAATACTTAATGTAGCATTTACTAAAACTTTTTTTAGCATTGCTTCAATTTTCTTAGGTTTCTTCACTTCATAAAATTTTACTCTTAACCCTATCCTTAAAACTATTAAGATACTCGTGGAGTACTACCTGTTTTTTGCTGTATTTTTTTATGTATCCTCTATGGAAATTAAATTTAAATAAGAAAAGTACCCATTTCGAAAGAAAAGTACCCATTCATCTATAATTCAAGATGACAGTTGCTTTTTCGGGAAGGAGCTTTAAACCCTCAGGTGTACTCATGTATCCAAAAAATTCTCAATTTTTTACTCCAATAACCAATATTAAGAGGTCTATATGTTCTACCTCTGTTGAAGAAGATACTAAAGTGTCAACAAAATAAGCGAAAACAAGGATCAGATAAAGAAATGGTCATTCTTTGAAATTTTTATCAATATCTTATAAGAAATCTATTTGTTTTTAAAATTCCGACTATTGTTTGCTATCTTTTGTAAACGTGTTTCGCTCAAAACTCAAATGTTGGAGGGAAGCTAATGAATGCATGAAATATAATATTGATATAATTGGTAATTGCTAAAACTTCATCAATATTATAAACTTTTAATACGGATACTGTCGAAATACTTGTCTTACTGTTCCTCAAATGGGATACATACCGGAGAAAATTACATGATATTGATACATTTTGTTTATCATGAGTTGACAGTGATCAATATCATCAAGTGATACTTAATAGATTTAATTATTTTGTTGTGATGATCTACAAAAAATGTGTTTCACATAATTCAATAACGTAAAGCCACCGGGAAAGGCAACAATTAACAAAGAAATAAATAAGTAATTGGAATTAGTTTAGAGATTTTAAATGTGTCGGTAAATGTCTTTCAGTTTCACGCATGATTTCTCAGTGCTTCTTGGCATTGACTTATTGATTTTCTTATTTTATTCTACTTATACGAAGAACAGTTGTTTAGTTACTGATTTTATAATAGATGTTTAGTATTGCATTTTAAAATAAAGACGAATTTCACCCATTCCATTTCCAAATTTCAATGTTAAATTTTATTAAAAGACGATTATATGTTGGAAAAAATCACTTAAATTAAATATAAATTTAAGTGCAAATTTAAAAAAAAAATTAGCTTGATGAACAAACTAAGTATAAGATAGCCAAAAACATTATATACACTGTTGTTGATGTACGTACAATATAAGTACATATTTATATTAAAGTCAAGTAAATATTTATTTTAAAAATATTTGCACAACGTTTTGAAAGGATGTTTTTTCAATGTTTCTTAAAACCTTCAAAAAACATAAAAAATAATTTCTTTAATGAAAATATTTTACTCTTTGGTAAATAAAAAATGTTTCGACAAGTTTTTGAAACAATTTTATGTGGTTGAGTCTTAGATCGTCGAGTCACCTTTAAATTTAAAATACAGAGTCAATTTTAAAATACAGAGTCTCATAAATCGAAAAGCATTTACCTTTTCATTGCTCACAGTTTAAAATGAACACCCAAAACTGCTGCTCCAGCTTTCTCTTGAGGTCATGAATAGTATTTCTTCCCGGTCTCTACATTGATGGAAACAGATTAGACTCAGGTAGACCGGGCAGTGGTGTTCAGTACATAAGAACATAGATATTGTTTTAGAAACCCTGATCACAGTTCAGATTTTTACTCTGAGCTTGTTGCTATTAGAGAAGCATTACATCTTACTTCGGAAGCTGGCGTGGATGAACTTGACTGATAGCAAAAGCTCCATACCGTACTTGAGGTATTGGCCTAATATCTCAGATAAATTGGGGCAGGATATCATTCTAAAATTGGCTGATTTGACCCAGGTTGGTACTGTATGTTCATAGGGGATTCTTCGCATGTTCGGGTTTACGAAAACGAAATTAATTGCTGATTTGCATGCTGGGAAAGGTAATGAATTCCTGAGGTCAACTGTTTTGGATAATATAAACACTGAAAACAATGAGGTCCTGTTTTTGGCTAGTATAAACACCACTTTGAGTATCCCGACCTAATATGCCTGGTATGCCACTGCGTTTCTTGGACTGTCAATGCAGTGTCCTTGCTCAAAAACTTACTCAAACCACTCTATATAAACTTAGGACTAGTCACATTAAGAGTAATTTATAACTGAAACGAGAAGACTTATGCCGTTTTCCGCTGTTCTGTCATTGCTTCTCCCTCTCATATCTTAGATTATATTGGTGACATTGAGGTACAGTTGTTGAATGAGGGAGATGTAGTTTTTGATTTATTTGTGCAATTTGGACTCCTGGACTTGGTTTAGTTTGTCTAAGCCAAGGGCGATAAGCATCAACAGAATTTGTCTTCAGAAAAATGTTTACAAAAATTTAAGAAATATAAAAATCATTTTTTTCAAATTTTCTCTTCCAGCTCCTATTGAAACTTATATAAATATAATTAATAATTTACTTGCATTTAAATGTATTGAACAAATAAACAGGTTTATGTTGGACTTATGTTAACAATACAGTACAGAGTGGTATCAGTATTTTTTTCCCCTCCGTGTGGATAAAACTTCTCGTATTCTCCCCATCTTTTCACAAATATATTGATATATTTTGCTAGCACGCATGAGGTTTGGAGTACAATAAAAAATGTAAAAGAAGGCATTCTCTGTACGATAAAATTAAACTTAAAGAAAACCAATAAAACTTTTTTTTTTCATTCCAGATTTTTCAAATTTATAACATACAATACTCTAGTATTAATTTTTTTTTATTTAGAATTTATTTCTTTTAAGTCTAAAAGACTCTGTTGATCCATTTTCAGTTTTCAAAGCACTACAATAGTGTATTTATTTTCTTAAAAAAACTTTTACACGAAGTATGAGTTTTAAATTTAATATGAAGAGTTTTCTTTGTTTGAGAAAAAATGTATGATTCTTTCCAGAAATGATTTCATTTCAGATTTACTTAGCAATTTGAGCTATAATATAATATATAAAGGATTCTAAATGAAAAACTTTTATTTTCAGCATTTTAGACAAGTTTAGTTTTTGTATTGCAAACATGCAATATCTGTAAATTTTTTAACACTGCGTCCGTTTTTGTTATAGATAAGAAAATCCTTAACGTCGGCTTTTTTTCACAAATGCTTTGACCTTGTCCAATACATGTTGGCACTGCTTTGCCATAGCTTTATAATTTTGTACTTTAACTTTTTCAACATTATAAGGACTCAGTTTACTGAAAAGGATATTTTATGACGCAAAATTTTATACAAATTTAAATTTTATGAGTTGTAAATTATTATAATAGTAAGTAGTAATTTTTATAAGTGGTAACTAATAATTTAAAATTTTATAATTAGTGAAATAAGTAAATAACTATTAAATAAACTATTAAATAGACTATTAAATAGATTAGTAAATATGAAAGTTTAAAAAAAATCTAGATTTAAGTTGATTTGTAAAATTGTAAAAAAGGTAAATAAGCTTTTTTTTAAATTACACATATATTTTTTTTCGCTTGGGATTTTTTTAGAAATATGCGCTATTCAAAATAAAAAAAGTAAAATATATATATATATATATATGCTAAGAATCTGTAATGATTTGTGCAATTTTTTACTTTTTAGAGGGATTTATAAACATACACTTTAGAAAAGGAATTTTGATTACACTTTTTAAAGTTAGCAGCTTTTTTCACTTTTTTCTTCAAAATGTTTCAGTAATTTTGTGACTTATGCATTTCTGGCTTCATTAATTTCAATTTTACTCTACTCGAAAAATCGAGCAATATTTTAATGATAATGTATCTCCTGTACAGTTACTTTCTTGCAACCAAAGAAAACAGAACTCATGAGCGCCACCTATATTCTATTTCTGCAAAGAAAAGCAAATACTCGAATCTCATGAAATGTCTGACTTGTGATGAAGGATATTTATGTCTTTATAACAATGCCATCTTCAGTCCAAATGTAGAATATTATGTGCTAGAATGTCTTGGACCTGGAGTACCTAAAATAGAAATTCGATCAATCTATAATCAGACAATAAGTAAGTTTATAATATTTAAAAATTTTTATTTACGTTAAAGTATTCTTTAAATACCATGTTACAAATACCTAATTTCAATTTTTCTTAGATTTAAATAATTAGTTAATTTTACAAAAGCGTAATGATAAGTATTCTCTCAAAAATAATGAATTAAAATTCACTTACAAAACATATTGCTAGAAAATACTCCTGTAAACAAAATTTAAATTTCGATGCATAGAACAAATAAATAAAGCATTTAATTTTATCACTTATTAATATGCATTTTTATATGTCATTCATTTTTATATTTCATTCATTTTTATATGTCATTAATCATTTTTGAATGCCATTTTTATCATTTTCATATTTTTATTTTCATTATTAACCAATTTTATAAGTTGTTCTGAAAAAAAAGACATAGCAACAAAATAAAAATGAATGAAAACAGTAATTTTACATAACATTAAGGTCATGGAATGAATTTATCTCCTCAAAATTTCTTTACTTTATTTTCTAACTAATGAAGCGAAACTAATGAAGTAATATTATAAAACGTAGGTTTTAGCACAACTGGCGGTTTTAACACAGGATTGTAAAGTGTAAAATTTAATATCTAAATTTTAAATCAAATTTAAAAATTTCTATAATAATTCTTATTATTTCTCAAATAAATTAATATTATTGAGTATATTTATTGTTTTAATTGTGTCGGTATCTTAAAATAAATAAATAAAAATAGTCTAATAAACAAAATCATAATCTAAATTTTAAATCAGATTCACAAATTTCAAGAATAATTCTTATAATTTTGCAAATCAATTAATATTTTAGAATGTATGCATTGCTTTTATTGCGTCAGCACCTTAAAATAAATAAATAAAAAAGTCTATTAAATAAAAACATAATCTAAACTTTAAGTAAAAGGCTAAATTTCTATAACAATTCTTATTACACAAGTACGTAAAAATTATTTAATATATTTCTTTTTTTTTATTATATCATTATCTTAAAATAAATAAAATCAAATTAATAAACTGATAACCTAAATTTTATAAATGACGATCGAAGTCAAATTCAAAAATTCCAATAATAATTCTTATGATTTCGGAAATAGATAATTTTTTTTAATATATTTACTGCTTTTGTTGCGTCATTATCTTAAAGTAATTAAATAAAACTTGTCTATTAAATAAAAGCATAGTCTATATTTTAAATCAAAAGCATAACTCTTATGAATTATGAATTCTCAAATGTATTAGTATTTTTGATTATATGAGTTGCTTTTCTTGTGTCCATATTTTAAAATAAATAAATAAAAATGAGCCAATAAATTAAAGCAATTTGTGTTTCCCAAAGAAATTTAGAAAAAGGGAAAAAATTAACTAATATATATTAACTGTTTGTGTACGTCTGATATTAAATACAAGATAGGTATACTTATATTTATTTTTAACTGTTGCATTTTAATTAATTTTTTAATAAAATACTCACAGGCATAATAATAACAATTATGTAACATGCAAATAATAATTTTATTTTTATTTCAGTTGTTTTAGATACTAACAGCGATCTTAAGCAACGTGTTGAGCAAAGAACAATGCCTCAGATTCGAACATTTCATGTTCCTATAAAAAGTGGATACAGTAAGTCAAATAAAATCTTTTCTGAAGAAAAATAACTTTAAGGTGTTCCATAAATCTGGTTTATGATTTTTTCAAAAAATTAATTTGAATAAAATTAAGGTACAATAGCTTGCAAAATTCACAATAAAATCGATTATTTAGCTACAATACTACTCTCAATCTACATAATCTGTCAATCTTCCAATCTCTTATCAGCAAAATATTTTTTTTCGCAATCTGAACATAAATAAAATTAAAAATAAGGCCTCAGACAGATAAAAGTATTTATTTTTATGCTTTTTGCAAAAAATATTCAATTGTAGAAAATATTTTATAAAATTAATAGTTATTGCAATTCAAACACATATTAACTAAACCCTTTCTAATACGGTTTTTGTTTGAGCCTAATAACCGTCTAGAACAATTTTTAACCATAATCAAACACTTTAGAACACATTTACTTTTTTAATTCAAAAAAGTGATGTTTTTCAATCCCATAGGAATTTTTGAATAGTAGGGGAGAGTGGGGTCAAATGTAACAGGGTACGATTGTAACAGAGCAAAAATTTCGAGTGTCGGGTTCTAGATTTGGTTCCTAGGTGGCGCACAAGGTGTATTTAATAAATCTACATGTACACCCCTGATGGCAATCATTTTTATGTACTTTTGAAAGAGTTAGATCACAAAAGATATTTTCACGCCACGCAAGTACTTTTTTTGGTATTAGAATATTATATTGTAACAANTTTATAAATGTTAATCTGAATCAAATTCACAAATTTCAATAATAATTCTTATGATTTCACAAATATACAAATTTTTTTGAATATATTTACTGCTTTTATTGTGTCATTATCTTAATATAATTAAATAAAACTAGTCTATTAAATAAAAGCATGATCTATATTTTAAATCAAAAGTATAAACTCTTGTAAATTATGAATTCTCAAATGTATTAATATTTTTGAATATATCAATTTGCTTTTCTTGTGTCCATATTTTAAAATAAATAAATAAAAATTGCCAATAAATCAAAGCATTTTTTTTTTTTAAGTAACGTAGAAAATGGGAAAAAATGAACTAACATATATTAAATATTTGTGTACGTCTGATATTAAATAAAAGATAGGCATACTTAGATTTATTTTTAACTGCTACATTTTAATTAATATTTTAATAAAATACTCACAGGCATAATGATAACAATTATGTAACATGCAAATAATAATTTAATTTTTATTTCAGTTGTCTTAGATACTAACAGCGATCTTAAACAACGTGTTGAGCAAAGAACTATGCCACAGATTAGAACATTTCATGTTCCTATAAAAAGTGGATACAGTAAGTTAAATAAAATCTTTTTTTAAAGGAAAATAACTTTAAAGTGTTCTGTAAATCTGGTTTATAATTTTTCAAAAATTTATTCTGCATACAATTAAGGCAGAATAACTTGCAAAAATCACAATAAAATCTATTATTTACTCAACAATACTACTCTCAATCTACTTAATCTTCAATCTACCAATCTCTTGTCAGCAAAATATTTTTTCTTCATAATCTGCGCATAAATTGAATTAAAAATAAGGCTTCCGACAGATAAAAGTATTTCTTTTCATGTTTTTTACAAAAAATATTCAATTGTAAGAAACATTCTATAAAATTAATAGTTATTGCAATTTAGACACATATTAACTAAACTCTTTCTAATTCGGTTTTTGTTCGAACCTAATGACAGTCTTGAACTATTTTTAACCATAATCAAACACTTAAGTATATATTTATTTTTTTAATTCAAAAAAGTGATGTTTTTCAAGCTCATAAGAATCTTTGAATGGTACTTAAAGCTGAAAAGGATAATCTCAGGAGAAAATATTTGTAACTCCAAAAGTCTATTAAACTAATTTATCTCATTATATTTTATATATGATAGACAGAAAAGTATAGAATAGTCAAAACTATCAGAATACGTTGAAATTAACCGTGCTTCTAGGCGGTATAGAAACACCAAAAAGCAAGATAGTTTTTATCAAAGTGCTTTGCCAATGATTTTGAGAAAATTAACAATAAAGTATGATTTTACAATTTGTGATAAAATTTGGTAATTTTGACGTAATATCTAAAAAAATGATTTATACGGTTAAATTTACTTTTCTGTTTAGTGTTTTTTACTAAATGTATTGTTATAAAAAATCAATGATTTTGAAACCAGAATTTTCGTTAAATCATTCCCATTTAAACGGAAAAGTTACCAAATTAATGATTTAAATACCGTTCTTATAACCAGAAGGAAAGTGTTTTTTGACCAGAAATGACATCCCCATACAGAAAGGTAATTTTATCAAATTTTTTTTCTCCGTGTACATCTTATACAACGAAAACAACTATAATTTTTAAAAGACGCTAGTTTGAAATAATAAAGTTATGAAACTAATGTTTCAAAAAAGAATTTATTTTAAACAGTAAAAATTGATAAAAAGAAAAACATGAGCTTTTTGCACTTGGGTGTTTTTGCAAATTGTATTCAACAAAGTGGATTGTGCTTGTCGATTTTTAAATTCACAACTAAGCTTAAATTTTAGGTGCTTGAAACATTTCATAAAACTTTTCATTTTTATTTTCAAAACATTGTTTAGCATTCAACATACTGCGAACAATGTGGTGAAAGAAAATTTAGAATGCAGAATCGAAGTAATACGCAATAAAAAACCGTTCCGCGAAAAAAATTAAAAGGCGTGAATTTGCAGTTAGAACTAAACTAGTCTTTCCTACGTAGAATTTTATATAATTTTCCATTGTTGAACAATAACTACGCCTTATTTATCTTTCATCAAAAGTTAGAAAAAAAATCTTATTCGGATAAGTCTGCTACCTAAATTTTTAGCACAGAAATGCAAAACTACAGGAACAATCACAATTTTTATTTTATTTTTTTAGGAATTTTGCAAATTCTTGTTGGGGTTTCAAATACGCTTTGCTATTTGACGTTACGCTGTTTCCATCTTACACAAAATTAATTATCGGTATTAAATATGCAGGGGTTGGTAGGATTTTCCATCCGAAAAATTTTAAAGTAGAGTTCAAATTTTAAGCATCATTATCAGCACATAACTTTAATATGCATTTAGTTCGTAATGACAATTAGTTAGCTTAACTACATTACGGTAGTTTTAGTATGTTACGATAATTTTATTTCGGTTAATGCAATTAAGGTAAATTTTTTATCATTTTCTCAATGAAATGTTTTGCTTTGTTATTCATATAATTACACATATATTCTATATAGTATTTTTTATGCTAAAATATATTTTTAGAGGCTCAAGTCCGTCTTTTGTTGCCGCCAGATCTTGCAGACAACGAAGCATCTCTTTATCCTCTTGTACTGTATGCGTAAGTGTAATTTATAGACAAGATACAAAAAAAAGAAACGAATTTTTTTATAGATTTTGTGTAAAGACAAATACCTAAATTAACATTTTAAAATCAATTTAATAATTTAAACTATTTAAATATTTAATCAAATAATCTAATAATTTAATCGAAGTAATTTATCAAGTAATTATAATTTGGACGGTAATCCCACTAGCCAGTGGACGGTAATCCCACTAGCGGGTCATTAAATAGGTAAAATTGGGAGGATGTTTCTCCCCTATACACTACCCTCCTATCTATTAGCATGGAAAAACCGGTTTTGCTATGCGGAGAAGACTGCAGGTCAAAATACGATTTTTTACGTGCAGAACCGTCAGTGGGTTTAATTGTAAGTGTATGTGATTATTATGAAACCTCTATTAACGAAGAAAAAATAGATGAAAAAGTAAAGAATTTGTTTGTAAAAGTAACGATGATGATAGATTATGTCTGATTCATTGCAAGCAGTCTTTGTCATTGTAGAAGAAATATCCATACTTGCTTCATTCAATGGAGTAATATGAAACAAAATGTGAGATATGATGTGCAAATATAAATGGACAACCTTTTGAACGGAGCAATATAAGAAAATTAATCTTCATTCATTTCTTGTATTCTTGTTGTATAGAATCTGTTTATTTATCAGAGCATTTATACAATCCGTTTGTGAGTCATTGTTCAGCTTCCAATTTGTACTAAAAGTTTGAAGATTTTTCAATTTTGAGAGGATAAACTGAAAGATTACTCTCTTCTCAAACAATACAGTACAATTCGCTTACAACGAACCCTGATTTAAAGAGGAAATAGGAAATACATGGTTCTGAAAATGTTTAGTCTATTTTATTTTATAATTTTATACCCATTACAGAACAGCCGGACCAGCTTGTGAGTTTTCGACTAACAATGTTCAACTACATGGCTTTGTAATTTTGAAATCAGTCCAAAAGACCAGAAAACTATTGGATTAAGCATTTGTAGAAATTCTCGTTCGTGGAGGACTTTTTGATGGAACCGAACTGCAAAACATGGCGATGAAAACCTCAAAAATCTTCCTCTGTTAGCCTGATGGTAAGGAGACTAAAACACATGATGCGTCGTCCACTGAGGGCATTTTGCATCAGCACTGAGGTCGGTGCGAGCGGAATTAACGTCGACCATCCATCACTGGAGTTCGAACCCGGGTCCAGATTATTCGATTAGTTTATATGCTAAAATGAAAAACCACAAGAAACTTCGAATTAAATATAGACACTGTATATGAGAAAAAGATATTTAAAAATAACACATGAAATCAAACTAAGCCATTGAAAATATAAACTACACTCGATTATGTTCATCCAACCGGACCTTCAATGGTAGGGAGGCTCTACCATAGCCTAAAGCTAAGCATTCACTTCACTTCGGAAGGCGCTCCTCATCTAAATCAAAGAACTGTCTGAAAATTCAATCAGGATACCATTATTCAAGAGAAATTTATGTACAGTTAGGTACAGAGAAGTTTACGTAAGAGTTGATCATAAATATTTAAAAATATGCATTTCATTGTTTTAAATGATTTTAATACGATTGGTTTGGGATAAATTACGTTTCAGATACTTACAGAAATACAGGCTGAACTGTGATCCACCTTTCCTGCAACTTTCGTTTTCCCGTACGTATCGTCTTGTTTAACGGTCGCGTCACAAATGCTATTCTTATTATGCCAACATACCCGTTTTGTTTGTTTTTTTAAATCAACGGATTTTCGCCCCTATCGTTCGTAAATTCTACTGACATTTTCCAAAAGCATTAAATTAATTCGCTTTGAGAAAAAAAAATGGTCCTGAGGCTAACAAGGAAAAATCTTGAGGCTAATAATGAAAAGCAATGATGATTTTTAAGGGGAATATGCCTCAACCATCACATCACATTCGATGTTCATACATCAGTTGAATAAATTGTAGAAATTTGTGGTGTTGCCAGTTAAAGAAATGGTTATAGACGACGAGGAATTTGACTGTGCAACTAATGGAGAAACTGGACTTAGCCACAACTAAGTATCAAAGGCATTGTAACAGTAAGAAACTTTTTGTATTCATAGGAACTTACAGGAAATTAACAGTAATCTGTTAGATGCATCAAAAACTTATTATCTCCGCTAAAAGTAAAGTATGTTTTCAAGCTGAAATTTACAAAGGTTTTAAATGAGTAAATAAGTTTTATTCATCCTTCTTTTGCATCTTCAAAATTTTTGCATTAAATTCATAATTTTATCAATTAAAATTTTTAAACAAATTAAGAATTATTTATTTCCAAATCTATTAATTCCTTATATCTTTCATAAATTTTTATTTCATTGTACGGTATTTTAATTTCACCCGTAATCGTCGTTTTCCCATATCTATCACTAGTAATAAATAGTGCCTGAAGAAACGATCTTCCGAGGTTCTACTGTATTAGAATTACAGTAAACTATATACATACATACATATATANTCAAACAATCTAATAATTTAATTGAAATATTTAAACAAGTAATTATTATTTAAGTGTAAAGTCCACCAGTTTTCAGTATTAGTCACTCTTTCTACAACGTATATGTAATAATTTTATAAATAAAAAATAGTATGAGTTACAAAAAATTTTTGAGGTTGTGTTGTTTGCTTTGGTTTTTAATTGCGTTGGCTGCCAGTAGACGTTAATCTCACTGGCGAGTCATTAAACAGACAAAATTGGGAGGATGTTTCTCCCCTATACACTATCCTCCTATCTGTTAACATGGAAAAACCGGTTTTGCTAAGCGGAGAAGACTGCAGGTCAAAATACGACTTTTTACGTGCAGAACCGTCAGTGCGTTTAATTGTAAGCGTATGTGATTATTTTGAAACCTCCATTAACGAGGAAAAATAGATGAAAAAGTAAAGATTTTGTTTGTGAAAGTAACGATTATGATAGATTATGTCTGATTCATTGCAAATATTCTTTTTCATTGTAGAAGAAATATCCATACTTGCTTCATTCAATGGAGTAATACGAAATAAAATGTGAGATATGATGCGCAAATATAAATCGACAACCTTTTGAACGGAGCAATATAAGAAAATTAATCTTCATTCATTGCTTGTTGTTTTGCTGTATAGAATCAGTTTATTTATCACTACATTTACACAAACCGCTTGTGAATCATTGTTCTGCTTCCAATTTGTACAAAAAGTTTGAAGATTTTTCAATGTTGAGAGGATAAACTGAAAGATTACTCTCTTCTCAACGTATATGTAATAATTTTTTTTCAATTAATTTCAGTAAACTATATATATATATATATATATATATTATCCTTTTTTAATTAAAATATTTATTATCAACAGGGATGGTGCTCCTGGATCTCAATTAGTAACAAATGAATTTAACATCCATTGGGGTACATACTTATCAGGACGGAGAAATCAAATCTATGCTTGGATAGATGGGAGAGGAAGTGGAAATCAAGGAGACAAAGTGATGCATGAAATATACTATCATTTGGGTACAGTAGAAATAGAAGATCAAATCGATGTCATTAGGTAAGTATTAAATATTTTCCCCGTCATAAGTTTAAGAGACTAGGTTCCGGTAGTTATATGGTATAGGCATTTAAACATTGCTTGAATAATTGGCGAATTCTCGCATTAAGCATATTGTGAGGTGAATTTTTTCACTATGCATTTCTAAGTAGTAAGAAAGTAAGATAGTGTTTATAAGATTATCTTTAAATTAAAAATAACTCTTCACTAACATCTTTTTTATGAGAAAAAAATACTTACAGTGATAAAATATAAAATTTGCTTATTTATGGGGGAGAATTTTTTTATTTAATAATTAATGTAATCTAAAGAAACATTTTATAAATAATGAAAAAAAATCTTTTAATTGAGAAAAAAAAACTAAGCAATTTACAATATTTTCTCTTTCCGAAGATTAAGTCAAATTTTTTCGTATGTTTTATCGTAAGGTATCTCCTCTTCTAAAGAAAAATACCCGGATTAACTGTAAGTTTCTTATTCTTAAAAATCAAATATTGTAAAAGATTCACAATAACTATAAGATTAAAAAAAGATTTCGTGCACTCCATTTTAAACAATGTGTAACGAATATCACTCTTATGAAATTAAAATATATAAAAAAAAATTCAGTCACCTTATATCAATGTCAAAAAATGTTTCAAATTATTTACGTTTATATATAATGAAAATTTTGAATATTTTATAAATCTCTCTGGCCTTTTCAATAGTTTAAATTTATTCAATTTCAGCTTTTTAGTTCTTAAGATAAGTTCTTTAGTTTTAATTTGAACTTCTTAGCCTTTAAAATAGTTTGAAGTGATTGATATACTGATGTTTTCTCTTCTATTTTCATTATGTACAGGTATCTGCGCGATAATTTGCCTTTTATTCATCCAACAAACATTGCTATTTGGGGGCAAGCCTATGGTGGCTTTGTAGCTGCATCTGCTTTGGCTGCAGAAAAAACAGTTTTTAAATGCGCCATTGCTGTTGCCCCAATAACAAGTTGGATATACTACAGTAAGTTATTGTTTGAATTATTTTCTGTTTAAAAAACCCATGCAATGGGAATAATAATCTTAAAAAAATTCAATAAATAATATTTGCTTCTGGTTGGAAAAAAATTAGTCGAGTAAATTTTTTTTAACAATATTCTCGCCATCACATTAATCAGAACAATTTTACTTTTATAATGATTTAAAACAAATGATGATAGCTTCATTTTTCAACTAAATATTTTAACTAAAATTTATATGAAAGTTTACCCATATTGACAAGCACTAAAATGTAATTATAAATATAATAATTAACCTATCAATTGAATACATTTTTAGGTATATGTTACACAACCTACATAACATTATTAAAAATAAATGAAAAAAAGAGACTGACAAAAAGGAGAAACATATAAAAAAAGATCCATTTTTGTCCTTTAATTTCGATAAGATTATTGTAAGAAAATAGAACAATTAATGGTCATTAAGAATAATTCACTAATAGTTTTTGTTTAATATCAAAAACATCTTTTCCAGACTCGGCCTATACTGAAAGATATATGGGAACTCCTTTACCACAAGACAATTATAAGGGTTATGAGAGAGCGAGTTTAATCAAAAAGGCTCACAATTTTAAAGGAAAAAAGATTCTATTGATACATGGAACTGCAGACGGTGAGTGAAAACTACTTTAATACAAAAATTTATATTTTTATATTTTACGTACGTATCAATAATTCGTAAAATATACAGTACATAAAATGTTTTTAAAGCTTTTATTTTATTTAGCTGTACGAATGCATGATCAGAAAAAAATGTTAATATATACGTTATGTATGTTATATATTAATATATGAAAAATCCTAAATATTACAAAAAATATATCTTATAGTATAATTGCATTTTAAATTAGATTATTTGAAGCCTTAACTTTGACTTCAGGTTTTAAGAATACAATCATCGCTATTAAGGGCAAATAAAGACATCGTATTTCAAAAGTTTCAGTGCTGAGCAGTTGCATTGCAGGTTTTTTTATTGGGAATTGTGTTCGATACGATTACCGCAAGCTAAATATTTTATTTCGAACGGTAAATCGATACAACAATACATTTATGCAAAATATGTGCATATTTATGTTATTAAAATTCTGTAGGCATGCTCATACAAATTCAATACGTTAGAAAACATTTATATGAACATAATGTATGTAGTATAACACAATTTACAAATCTCAAAAATTGAAGATTAATTACACGAACTAAAGTTACGATTTTATCCAATTATTAAATTTCTAAGCCCTTTATGTAAAGGAATACTCAAAAATACTTTTCTTTCATCAAAACGATCAAATAAATTGACTTGCTTTTTACACTTGGGTAGCCAATGCCTTCCTCTGAAGATTTCTTCATGATGACTTCCGATTTATCATTGATCCCCAATTCTTCTCTGCTATTTGAATTCATGCGTGAATTTAATTCATTACATGATAAAAAAAGAAATAGCTATTAAAATTAAATCTTTTTTTTTGTAGCTTCTGTGCACATTCAACATTCAACAATGTTCATGAAAGCACTCACGGAAGAAGGTGTTCTATTTCAAACCCAGGTAAGAAATAACCATTTGATACAGTTTTCATAGTTTTCAAATGCTTTTGAACTCGGACATGATAGACAAATTTTTTTATGTGTTTCTTTTTGTTTAGAGTTGTTTATTTGAAGTAAATTAACCAGACCGTTTACATATTTTTTTCATAAAGACTTATTTTCAGTATCGTCATAGAAATATATATTAATATTAGATAAACTTAGAGTTAGTCATAGTTTCAATAAACGTTTGTGTTTGTTTCTTTATTGACTTATTGTTTGAAAATTATGTTTGAAGACAAATAGGCCGAATTCTACAACATTTTGCAATTATGTAAAATTAATGTTGGAAAAAATGCAACACTTTTTAAAAATTTCCTATAGTTTTTTTTTTTACCAGAAATACACTACGAGTAGACGGAGCATGTTCTGGACAGAGCATTTTATTCCTATTTTTTCAAAAAAAGAATTAAGAAAATTTCCATCTTTACTTATTTACGGAAGTTCTTTTATTGAAATTCCCTTATTTGAGGACATTTTCAACCATATATGTTTAATCATTGAAACTTTTGTTCATTGATAATCATTAAACACCACAGATTAGGAATTACAACAAATAAAATTAGTTGGAGGAAATGAATGCACAGTCATCACAAGTAAGTAGTCAGAAATCTCCACCCAGACATACAATATCCAAACGGGTAGTACAATCAACTTTAAAATGAGTTAAGCATATTCTGGAGATTCGGTCATGATATCATAGTTGATGAAATAAAAGGTAGCATACCTTTCTATTGACGTTAATCTAGACGATTTTATCTGTATAATTCCTTGTAAAATTCTAAGAATTCTCTATTAATGTAACTGTAGGAAAAATATAATTTATAATAATATTTTCCTAACAAAATTGTAACAACATAAAATACCAGATTATACAGAGATGATTACCAGATTACACCAGATAGCACTCTATTAAGACACCAGTTATGCTGAGCAATTAAACGTTCGCTTTTTAGCTTTTTGCTCAAAAAATAAATAAAAGACTGCCATTTTGTGGCAAAATGTAAGCAAATTTTGCCAAAATATTTTTTGAGAGACAAATGTATTGTTATGTTGAACTTTCCTGCGTATTTGTCCTTTGGTATAGTTAAAATATTCACTTCGGGTTAATAATCAAAATAAAGATCGAAATTCAATGAACAAAAACTAAATCTGTTATTGAAATGTGACTTTCGTTGCATGCATTTCTTATCAAATTAGTTACAAATACATTACGCTTTCACTTTTTTTGTTGAGAAAAACGGGATGTATCAAAAAGTATCGAAACAGCTGATGATAAAACAAATTACAAATTTATTTTACAACGTACTAAAACTTCTACTGAATTTTTTTATGCTGCTAAATCGAGCAGAAATATCTGTTATTACAATATAAAAATGTTATACGCGGTTTTGTGTGTATTGTTTTTATTTCTCATTTTGCTCATCATTTGCTCAATTAAGAAAACTAAATAGTTTTCACATAGACAAAGAGTGTGTTTCTAGGAAATTAAAATATTTAATTTTATTCCTCTTCACATTTATATTTGCACATCTATTCCAGATATATACGGATGAAAATCACACTCTCAAAAATGTTAAACGGCATATGTATCGTACGATGGAGGACTTTCTGACGAAATGTTTTACAAATCAAAAAGATGATTATGATGGAACATGAAGCCAAGTAAATTGGACATTTAAATACATGTAAGTGAATCCAGACCTTAAAAATTTTAACGTGTACATAAGAAATGGTGTTCACAAAAGGGAAATCATTAACCACAATGGTTCCAAAGGAGGAAAAAACAAATTAATGTCCCGGAATGACATAAATGTATTGTTGGAGTATGAGTATTGTAAAAACTTTAAAAAAAGTGTATGTAAATAATATATATTTTTCCCGATAATTTATGGACATTATTTCGTTTACTCGAAGACAGTTTTTAATATCAGAGCTCACAGTATAAGCTGTTTTTTTTTCTAAATGTTTGAAATGTGAACTGGTAACATCATGAACTGTATTTTGTACCAAGGAAAAGTTATTTTGTATGAAAAAAAATAGTTTTTGTATTAAGTTTTGTATTAGAAGGTGCCAAATTTATTAAAATATCTTTAATTTTAGATTAAGCTTTCGATCTATTCCTATTTTATCCGTTTTGTTGTTTTCCTAATGTATTGTACATAAAATGTCTGACAATTATCTTCTATCTTTCATTTTTATTTGTTTTCTACTTTCACTGAGAGGTAATGCTAAAATTTAAAGTGTCAAATTATAAAGTATTTTATGGGCCAAAGTTGTTTTGTATTATTATTTTTCTTCGTGTAAGAAATTTTTTAATGTGATTTTCAAATTGGAAAAAATTATAAGTTAAGAATTTAGTATCAGTACTTCCTTAATTTACTTTATTTTAAAAAATAAGTTATAAAAGTATATTTTTAAAAAAATTTGTATAAAAGAACTAAATGTTACAAATATAATCCGATAATTGATGATGAATGTTTAATGATGTTATGGTTTTACGTTTTAAGGGAAGTTATGATTGCAATATGTGAATATAATCTATTATTTAATATCATTTATTTCAAACATAATTTCTCTCAAATTGGTAAAGCTTTTTACTAATGCTTTTAATTTAAACTATTTTTTTTCCTTAAATTATATATATGTTGGTTAAAATTAAATATTATTTTTTTTACAGGATCTCAATTAAATTTACGGTAGTATCAAACTTTGTTTTTACACGAAATTTTCTGTACTTTTTCATATGTGTGGAATAAATCAAATTTGAAATTTTCTCTTTAATATTCAGGAAACAAAAGTTGTAAGAGTGATAAAATTTAAAACTCACCACAGTCTTAATATATGAAATTTTTTAAGATACTTAATTTTTTGAGAATAACTTTTAAAACTTTTTATAAGAAGGAATTTCTTATAAAAAGTTTTAAAAAAAATGGCGAAATTGTTTTTGCTGTATGTTTTAAAATAATATTTACTGTCATTATTGATGGAAGTTAAAATATTTCATTCGAGCAATAAAACCAAATTAAATTTGAGGTAGATGAGTTTTTTTCTGTCTTTTATACTTTAATATTTCTGTACTTCACCAAACTTTGATTGCAATGGAAATAAAATCTTTTTATTAGTGCTTTATTTAATCAACTATTTTCTGTAATCTAACTCAAAACATGTTAATGAATCTGCTGTGATTATTATGCTGTGAGAATAAGAAAGTTTTTGTAATATATGGCTTTATCTGATTCATTTTTGGAACAATATATTCAACAGATGTAAAGATTTATTTACATTTGTAGTGACTGAAGTCCCAGTTGTAATTCAGTCACAAATTTCTCTTTTGATTAAATGTATGTTTAATAAAAAAATAAATAAAATTATTGCGTAATTTAATTTATTTTTCAAAATATTTCAAGATTGATTTTTTTTTCAAATTTCGAAATCTGCAATTTATTTATTTTTTCGAGATTTGTGTGCTGCATTATTTTATACATTTTAAACGACCTATCCCCGTTATCATTATTATTATTTTTCAACAAACCTTCTATGAGTTCGCCTTTATCATCGGTGCTGGACGCAGACATTCCTATATGTATCACATTCGAAATACATGTTTTTTTTCTTTTTTGTTGACAATCAATATTTTACTGAAACCTTTTTTTCGTTCTCTATTTTTTTTTCAATTATTACATTTTAAAAAGAAATTTGACTATTAATTTCGCAAAATATCGTTAGAACATTTTTCAGGACAGTATACTTGAACACAGTTTAGTAATATTAAATCCTTATTTTGTAAGTCGGTATTAAAAAAGATAGCTTTATGCTTCATAATTGGTTTTGTGTCTCATAAACTTAATATACGTATGTATGAGAATGCGTCCTTCCATATGATATCAATCACTTTTGAACCGACCCACTTCCATTTTAATGAAGTTTTGTGAAATTGACACACAGGATAAAGTAAGTAATTCTACCAATTTTTAGCTTTTAAATTTTAAAATTGTTAATCTTATAGACACTTGAAAAGTTTCATAAAAAACGATAATCATAAATACATATAAATGGATGCAACTTTTTTTTCTTAACTATGACAAAAAATAATTGTTTACTGTTTGTTATGAATTTTTTAATAACTTGATTGCAAATAAATGTATCAGGTTGAGTAAAAAGTTTTCCGCCAAAGGGAAATACCTCCGTGCCAGCAGCAGCCATTGCCGTGGTGGTTAACTTTTTTTGAAACGGGCTTTTGTATTTTAAAGCAGAAAGTTGGAACTACACAACTGTGTAATTTGTTTGTCAAAATTTTATCATCTTGTGCACCAAAATTTTTTTTAAAATGGAGCTATCACGTTAACAGATCAGACCCATTATGTACTATGAGTTCCGAAATAAACTAAGTGTAACTGAATGCCACAAGAAAATGTGTGAAAGTTTAGGTTTCAATACTGTTTCTTATGGGGATACAGTAAAAGTTTGGCTTCGAAAGTTTAATACTGGGAATTTCAACATTGAAGATGAACAACGTTCTGGCCACCCTATTGAGGTTGATTGTGACCAGTTAAAGCAAATTATTGTTCAAGACAGAAATTTTTCAACACGAACNAGTGGGTTAAGCTAACAATGTTTAAGTTGCTTTATTAAATAAGCAATCCTGAATAAAAACAAAAAGACAAATGTAAATTAAATATACTGATGCATTGTAGAGAAAAGTAAAGAAATCAGGAATTTAAAAAAATAATAATAATTTAGATTAAATGAAATTATCTGCTGGGAGACCTGAAGCTGAAATATGTATTTGAGGGACATTATATTATGCGTTCATTCATTAAAAGTAATTTTATGTATCAGAAAATGACAATAAACAAAAAAAAATATGTGAAATTTAAATCCCAAAATATTTCTGTACTTCAAGTCAGCTTCTCCTAAAATCAATAACAAATGTAATGCAACGTCCATGGGAACAGATTTTTATAAATATCCAAATTAGAGTGAATGTCGATATTCAAATATTCCCTCTGATGAATGTTTAAGAAATATTTATTAAAATTCCTTATTTCTCACTTACAACAGCAAATGAAGATATTCAGTAGGTATGAGTAGTGAATTTCGAAATATATATGTATATATGTTTTTGTTATACTCATTTTTTCCCTTTGCTCTGTTGAATGTCCTTATTCCACTTCAGTATGCACTGATAAAAGGATTGTTAAAGAGGAAATAATCTAATTGACTATTTTTTATATAAAATCTTCTGCTGAAGTGTCGAAATTTTTCAATACAGAAGAAATAAAATTAAGGATTAAATTTCAGCTAAATAATAACTGAATTTCTTTGAACAATTATTCTTTATCCGGTTAAATTTACTTTTAAGTTTCGTGGTTTTTCTTAATGTTCGGTAATAAAAGCTATAATTTTGAAAACCAGAATTTTGGTAAAACGTTAAGATATGAATTGAAAAAGTCGACATGTGAATTCTTTAAATCCCGTATACTTTGGTATCATTACCACACTTATGGTTTTTTACTAGATATGTCTTTACGGTACGATACTTTGACCAAGTTTTCAAGTTTCCAAGTTTGTAGTATAAAAGTTAAGAGCATTGTGGAACTATTTTTGATTTTTTTTTTCTTCGCGATAGCAAAATTAAAACGACAGCAATTATTATCAAACACTCGTTGAATGACCTAATAAAATCACCAGATTTTATTTCACTGTGATTTCACTCTATGTTAAAAAATAGCAATTAAGTTGAAAGAATGTTATAATATCCCCTTTGAAACAAAAATAAATAGTACATATTGGTGCTTCGCAAGTTCAGAAATTATTATCAACTTACTATTTAATCACAATGTATTCTGAGTAATTTCTTAGTAATACAAGTATACTTAAATATAGTATTAAAAAAGAATAATTAATAAAACAATAATTATCAAACGATAATTAATAAATAAAAATTACAATCAAAAATTAAAATGTTAAAATTATTTAACCTCATATTTCTGATCTTCTCTGATTGAATTAATCTTCAGGCTTTCAAACTCCTTTAAATGAATGTAATAAGAAATGGGATTATTGTGTCGATGTCAACAAAGAATAATCGATTATATGATGAAAACATTCGATTACGCTTGCCTGAAACGTTGGACTTTTTCGCCTTCCTAAAGCAATTTGTTCTGCCACTTGACTACTTCTTCATTACATCCCAATGTCCCTTGATAAAATGCTTCACTACTTCACCTGAATGAATAAAAGGAATGCATTACTATTCTAGTGAGAACATGGAGAACTCTGAATGCTTTATAGATGAGTTTTTCTGACACTAATTCCAGCCATTTTTTTTTTAAAAAGAAGTTTCACTGAGAAATTCTATTCCACTACGTCTCTAAATAAGATTAATTATTTATATTTAGTGGTTTAGCTTAATTTTTGCTTTAAAGAAGAAAAAAAGTTTTTTTCCATACAATAAAGTAAAAGGATAAAATGTTTTTTTTTCGTATTTAATAATTCCAACTACTTTTGTAATCTTCCTCTTTAAATAATGAGTTAAATATCATTATAACTTGAATAATGAAAAACTTTAGGAAAAAAATTTCCTTAAAAAATTGTGTTTGCGCTACGAATAAATCTGAAACTTCATAATTAAGCTTTTACAGATACTTACGTAGTTTTATTTATAACATGAGTTAGGCTTTTTCACTTAAAAAAAAAGTATAAAACATCATCAAGAAAAGAAAACGTATTTTGAAGAAATTAAATGAAAGAGAGCTGAAAATAGAACTGTCTGTAACATAAATTAGATATTTTCATTTAAGTTATGTTCCCATTCCAATTTTCACCTTCCAAAGTTTGAAAATAACCAAAACCAGAAATCAGACAAAACATTGAAAAATAAAAATTGAATTTGGTACAAAGCTATGGAACCTTAGATTACGCTACGAATTACGGATTCAATAAATGCAGTAAAAAATTTTCCAATATCTGATGAAAGCAGCAGAAAACAAGAAAAATTAGCGAACAAACTTTGTAAAACCGCCATTTGTTTGCTTCGCAAAAATATTTTAGAGTTCTTATTGCATTGTTTAAAATAGTTAAAAAAATATATCGTGTCATTCCATTTTTTTAAGCTAAAGTTAAGTAAGTTAAGTTAAGAGTTGTTTAACCCCGACCCCCCCCCCTTAAATGTGGGTATGTAGGGAGAACCGGGTCGACTCGTCGCCGCGACAGCCCTCCCCCTCAGGAGAGGAGGGGCGATTCAGAGACCGGCGCATCCACCGGTCGAGAGTCCCGGCGAAGCACCCCCGTGGCATTTATTTTTAAGAAACAAAGTTTACAAAATAACATCTGAATGGCAACAGGCCAACAAAACATACAAAAATTCAAAATACATTAAACGATTGTTTTAAAACAGGTCAAGGGATCTTTATAAGCAACAGACCGGAATAGTTGAGTGACAGGTCAAAGATCCTTATAGTAATTGCAAGAGAGAGACGTAGGTATTAAGAAAAATAATAACATTGAAATACAGTTAAAATCTCATCAACCATCAGAATGTACAATTGTTAACATCTTAACCTTGTTGTAAGTAAGTAGGGTAAGTAAAATAAGCTTGCAGGTAAGTAACTTAAGTAAAGTTTATATATATATATATATATATATATATACCATAGTTTTGTCNATATTACCAAAATAAATGCATAAGATTTCATTTTGGAAATTTGCTATATCGTTTAAGCCTAATTTTCTTGTTTAGTTAAAATGATCCATTTGAATAATGAATTTTATAATAGTTGTTCTCATTTAAACAATGGTCTTAAAAAATAAATATGGGCAAGTAGCTAAAAGGAGATAAAACCTATGTCATACAAATTTGA